TAAAAATATCTTTAGATTTTTATAATTTTTTTGCACAAATGTCATTGTAATAGTATTATAAGACACTAATATAAGTATTTTTGTCAATTTTATTTGATTTGTATTACGTTTCATATAATAATTAATATTCAAATATCAACACGTAAAATATAAATGAGAACTCTAAAAGTAATATTATATTTTTATTAAAAATAATATAAAATGAATAATATCAAAAATAGTAAAATAATAAACTTTATTTTATTTTTTAGTAAATATATAAATAGTAATTATATCTATTTTTATACCCAAAATGAGTATCTATTTATTCTCTCTACCACAAAAAAAAAAAAAATTATTTTCATCTTTTATCTTTTATATGTTATAAAAAAAAATTAATTTTTTTTTTTAACAAAAAAATCATACGACTCTGTTGTCACTTTTCACTTTTTTTAATATAAAAGTTAAAAAATACGCATTATATTAAAACTCGTGTAAAAAAATAAATGAGACTAATGAAAAAATATTTATTATGAAAATTTTGTTTTAAAATTGTATTTTAAGTAATTAATTAATTATTTATTTATTTCTGATTTGTACTTTTATACTCCATTATCTTTTAAAAATGTGCTTATTAGTATCTTTTTATTTTTTATAAATATTTTTATTTTTTTATTTAGTAAAAAATTATACTTCCTCCTAAATAATTTAAAAATAACATTTTTACCACATTCATCTGTTCCACTTTTAAAGTATCTATTTTTTATTTTATAAATAATTATTATATACTAATATTAAAATATTTTTAATTTGTATTTATATTACAAATATATTATTACACATACAATTATTTTATATATAAAGGCAAATGACAAAAATATCAAAATTTTTACACATTATTATTAACTAATAAAATACGGAGTATTATTTTTTACTATTATAAAATCCCACAATACCCTATTGAATTAGGACGGAAAAAATATTATTTTTTTTACTATAAAAAATAACATAAAGTACTATCAATTAAACCTAGTATATCAAAATCAGTGTCTACAAATTTTGAGTATATTTTTGTGAGACGAAAAAGAAATATATTATGTTATATTGAGGTTTAATTTTAATAGTATTTTATTCTATTATTCTTACAATTGTTTTTAAAAATATTTATATATATATAGCATATTAAAATCAAATTAATTTTCTATTATTTCTTACATTGCTCAATAAACTCTTTAAACTATTTTAATATATATATATATATAATATTTAATATATTTATAGTATAATGTAATAAATCTTTTATATATATTTCTTTTGATAAGTTTGGTAAAATTTTGGTTTGAGTTTGACATTAAAATAATGTTTGATACAATATTTTGTGAGAAAAAAAATGTATTTTTTTCGAAAAACACAGAGTTCAATAGTAAAATTTGGAAAATTTTAAGTAAAAAAATAATATGGTTGGATAATAAGTTGTTTACCTTCATCAAATATTAAATTATTTTTAATAAAAATATATTATTTTTTATAAAATATTTAAAAAATATATTAAAAATAAATATTTTAATAATACTTCTACAATTTTTAATAAATAACAATAAAAATAGGAAAATTTACAACATTAATAAAAATAATACCAGCCGAACACATATTTCAATAATCATTATAAAAATAACCACTAGTCAACATGAAATTAACTAATGTCGGTGCCTACAAATAAATGTGCCATCTAATCTTATATTATTGCAAATTAAATATGATATTATTATATTTATGCTATTAATATATAATATATTTGTAATAAATAATTTTATTTATCTAAAATTTTGTTATTTATATTTTAAAAATTAGTAAATAATTTGTTATTATTTTTTAATATATTCCACCGTATATATATTCTTGATTTCATACAACATTTTTATTTAAACTTTTATCTATTATATTTTTATATTAATTTATTATTATTATTATTATTTAATTTCAGTATTCAATCAAAATGATAGAATTATCGTAAATAGAGATAATACTATTTTAAATTTTCAAAACAAAAATTTAATAAATGTAGACTAATAAAATATTATTATATTTCATCTCAAACTATAATCATATTATTATCTATCAATTGTATCTTGAAAATTATTATAATTAATATATTTATATATTATTGATCATGCATAAATTAGTAGCATTTTAAATTTTACATTAGGATAAAATTAGAGCAAAAATAAAAAATAGTCCAATTGAAATTCTAAATTTTCACTTTTAGTCTCATTAAAAAAAAAAAAAAAAATGATCAAAACTAGTCCTATTAAAATACTTATTCATCAATTTTGATCATGGACAGTTAATTCGGATCCAACATGGACAGTAGGTCTGGTATGAAGGAATAAAAACACGGTGTGTTCTACAGAATACGCCCATGTTGGATCCGAATTAACTGCCCAGGATCAAAATTGATAAATAAGTGTTTTAATGGGACTAGTTTTGATAAATTTTTTTTGAATGAGACTAAAAATGAAAAATTAAGATTTTAATGTGACTATTTTTTATTTTTGCCTTAAATTATATAGAGAATAGAGAGTATTGCTTCATCACTTGTGGGCTTTTCTTTTCTTTGGGTTAAAATAAATTTTATATTTTCAACATTGGGCCTTCAATTTTTGGTAATGTATTTAATGAGTCTGTTCGCTTTGTATTTTTAAATTGATATACTCTGTCCGTCCCACAATGGGTGTCTCGGTCACAGTGGATACGAGAATTTAGAATAAGTGTAATTAGTAGGTAATTAATAATAAATTAGTGAAAATAATTAACCTATAATATAAATCATTATAGATTAAAATTAAGATAACTAATTAATTTAATTAAAATTAAAAAAAATTAAATTAGAAAATTTAAAATAAGATTAAGATGCGTAATTATTTTTTTTTTTAAAAAAAATGAGATGAGATGTGGGACGTAAACGGAAATATGGACATGGTAAATGGAACGGATGGAGTATTTTTTATATTTGATATAAAAATTGTTTAATTTTGTGATTGGATAAATTATATACTCACTCCGTCCCATATCTATATATTTATTTGTTTTTTTTCACGAAGTTTTAAAAATATTAATATTATATTGGGATAAAGTAGAAATAAATATAAAAAAAATAAATTAACCTTATTAGTACAATATAATATAAAGTAACTACATTTGTGTAATATATTGTAAATTGAAAAGGTATTTGTAACATTAGGTAGATAGTACAATTACTAAAAAAAAAATAAAAAATGAATACTTTGTTACTAGGCGACCAAAATGAAAAAATGGATAAATAGTTAAAGGATTGATGAAGTATATTATATATATTGTGTTAATATGTATATATTATTTTTTTTAATATTGAAAAAAAAAATTACTAATAAGGTACCATATTAACCCTAAATTGATTTGCGTTACAATAATTTTTTATCTACAATAATAAATTATTGTCAATTATGTAATCCGGTCATTGCTTGGTCGTACATGGGTGTGTTTATTTTGTATTTTTTTTTTTATAAATACATATATATATATATTTATGTAAAGTTTAAAGATAATTTCAGTAAAAAAAATTTAATATTTTGTGTTAAATTATTAATTTTTATGAGTAAATAATATATATACAATATATTTTGATCGTATATGTATACATTTTTTATATATTCTAATCGTACTATCTACGAATATAAAGTTAATTAACAAATCATGAATTTGTATTGAATTTGATATAATTTAATTGTATAATTTTTATTTTTTTTTGTTATGGTTTAAAGTTTGAAACTAAAAATGTAATAATTCAAAAAAAAAAATAATGAATAAATAAAATTGATGTGATATGATAATTTAATATTGACGTGGTGTTTTTGTTTTTTAAAAAAAATTATTTGGTAAAAGTATAAGATTTGTATTTTTTTTTTCTTTCAAAAGTTTTCCAATATATCTCATGTCAATTTTTTATTTTTATTTCTTAAAAATTAAAATACAAAAAAAAAAAAAAAAACCACATGTGGATTAAGTGAAAAAAATATATAAATATATGTAAAGTTGATGGAAATTGACCGACATCTCACCTTGAAATTCAAATTTATTAATGTTTGTGTATTTGGTTTTAATTTAAATTTCAAATGTGATTAAAATAAAATTTTTATATTATATTTTGCTGTTACAATTATGTTAATTTTTTTTTCTTTTTTTTTTTTTTTGTCATTCTTAAATTTATAAATAATTTTTTATTTTTTTATTTACTATATTACTTTTTATTAATGATTTAATAATTCATTTCTATAATATTCCATTTTAGTTTTAAGTATCTTACCTTAATGCTTCATGAGTATGCTTAACTTTTTCCTTTTTTTTTTATTATCATAGAAAATGTTCTAGTTTCTTTTTCTAATCATAATATTTTTATACTTTCTTCATTATAAAGACAAAAAAGAAAATAATAATAATTATTTATTTTTTAAAATTCATGTACAATTATTTGAACACAATTAAAAAAACAAAGAAAGTATTAAAACATCATTTTTTTTACCAAGCCATAGCTACGTAGGCGTGTTTGTTTGGAGGATTGGATTAGATTTCCACAATTCATCTTATTTTTTTTTTCAAAAATATCAAATCAAATACCTATTTTTTATTTTTTATATTATACTAAAAATCAATTTTACATTCAAAATATCGCCTATTTATATCACATCATATAACTATTCAAATTCAAAATTTTTATATTCAAATTCCAACTCAAAATCCAAACCCCAAACAAACACACCAGTAGTTTACAGGAGGAATATAAATATAAGTTTGAAATAAAAATAAATTTCTCTTTTGAATTTTGAAACTTATTTTGATATTATTTGTTAATAACACAATAAAATATTACATACAAATTATTATTTATATAAGATTAGTTATCTTTAAAAAAAAAAAAAACTCTTTAAACATATTTAAACAAACCCCTAATGTTTGAAAATACAATCTCAAGAAGAAAATAAATTTACATATATTTTATTAATATTTTAATTTTTTCTGACCAATGCAATTGTCTTATTCCTTTTTTACGTAAAACTCTTCACCCCAATCCTCCGCCGCCGCCCTATTGTTCATCTCTGCCGCCGCTCTGGTCAATCTCCTCCGCGTCTCCCTAAATCATCTTCCTGTAAGTGTTTCTATGCCTCTACATTTCAATGGGTAATGCGTAATTGAGAGCGCGGCTTTTGTCGCCGTTCTGAATCGTTCGATTTTTATTTTCAAACATGCAGAAAAACAGTGATTGAAGGCGATTTCGTGGCTGTAATGGGGGCAGGAGGGAGGGAGATGTCGATTTCATTGGATGGTGTGCGGGACAAGAATTTGATGCAGCTGAAAAAGCTCAACACTGCCCTGTTTCCCGTTCGGTACAACGATAAGTATTACGCCGATGCTCTCGCCTCTGGCGAGTTTACGAAATTAGGTGTGTTTAATCTCCGAGGATTTTGCAGTTTTTTCGGTGTCGGATGCAAACGGGAGATTTTCTGTTGTTTTTCATATACTGATTTGAGTTCAAAATTATGATTTGGTTTCTTAATTTATTTTGGTTTGGGTTGGTTTGTTCTGTTCTTTTTTTAGGGTTTCAGGCGTGATTTGTGTTGAATTAGATAGAAAGTAACCAATGAATTATAATTTTTGTTGCTTCATAGAATTCATAAGAATTTTAGGCTTATGAGCTCATAGTAACTGGTGATTATTGATTGTGGGAATCCTGGTTTGAGCAAGGCCTTTACATTCTGATTGAATCCTTTTGGATCTTGTTTTCTCTTTAATGGTGACACTTGAATGTTTTCTGCTCTGTATATCTTCAGATTCAATACTTCCATTAAAGCTGAAACACTTTGATATTATAATGGGCAAACTAAGGAACAGGTGAAATGGTGACAGTTGAATGTTTCATTCTTTGTTTATCTTCAGATTCATTACTTCCATTCAAGCTTGAATACTGTGTTCATATAATGGGAAAACTAATTAACTAGTGCTGGAGTATTGTATGGTTTCATATAATGATGGAAACACAAATTAGAATTCTGTGCTTTCAAAATATTGAAGTTCTAGTTTTAGCATTAGATAGTATGTTCTAAAGAGCATAATGGAAGAAGATGATCATAAAAACCATGAGAAAATGCAGAAGAGTAAATTGAGAAAAGGTAAAAGGAAACTAATTGTTGGGGACATTAGGAAACTTGCTGTTCTGCCCGTTCTTGTTTGCCAAACCTCTGGAAGATTTAGCAGCCATCCATAATTTTGATAAGATTCTTGTGTGCAGCCTATTACAGTGACATCTGTGTTGGATCCATTGCATGCCGTCTTGAGAAGAAGGAAGGTGGAGGTGTTCGTGTATACATAATGACGTTGGGTGTTTTGGCGCCGTATCGTGGGTTAGGCATTGGTATGTGATCTACTTGTCTTCCTTTTTTGTCTGTGGTGTTCCTTCTGGTTAAATGCTGAAACATTTCATCTCACTAAATCAAATTCTTTAATAATTAACATTGTGGCTCTCATGATGCTTGGAAGAGACCACAATGAAAATGCTTGGGCTTTTGGTTCGACCAATTAGTAGTTAGAAATCATTAACCGGCGGTTCTGTGCCTCTTTGTAAATTGAACTTACACATAAACAAGCTTTTCCTTTCAATAGAAAAGTTCCCTCTACATCATTTTTCAGCATATCCCAGATAAAAAGAACTTATTTGTTTTCATTGTAACTCTTGAATTCGATACGTTTCAGCATAGATCATTGAAAATGGATATAGCAGCATGTCTACATTCCTGAGATCATTTTTTTCTTCTTTGACAGTGTGTTGACTAAATTCGTCGTATGATCTGTAGGTTCTAAGCTGTTGAATCATGTGCTTGATCTTTGCTTGAAGCAGAGCATTGGCGAGATCTACCTGCACGTACAGACAAACAATGAGGATGCAATCAAGTTCTACAAGAAATTTGAGTTCGAAATCACGGACACAATCCAAAATTACTACACAAACATCACTCCACCGGACTGCTACGTCGTCACCAAGTTCCTGAACCAACCCCAGCCCAAGAAGTAAAAGGTTTCAGCCTCTCAATGGAGCTACACTAGTACTCTCTGATAGACTATATATATAATCCAGTTTTGGGATCTCAACATTATTGGCGTGTCATTAATCAATTATTCATTGGGGTTTCTGCTAAAAGATCATCTAATGTCTGAAAACCAGTTTCTGCTGAGTACTATTAGTCGTTCGTTATACACTGCACATATATATATATATTGTTTTGTTAGGCAGGAATGCAGGGGCCATTTTGATCGTTATTTGGAGCTCCTCAATTGGGTGAGAAGCCAAAACACGATTTTAATGAGGTGGAGGTGGAATGAAATGCGATTCTTGTCGAATTTATTTACGATATATTGACGTTTGTTTATTTACTTGCTTGCATACATGTGCAGTGCAGCAGCAGCAGCAGCAGCACGTGGTGACTGGTGATGAAACGGTGTCGTTTTCCGCAAGGAGTGGCCAACTCAAATCCACTTTTCTCCTCGTCGTCCTCCTGCATTTGCGTACAGCTGTGGCACGTGGGTGAGCGCATCTGCCAGGTACATAAAATCCGATTTAATAAGCGTTATATTTTTTATTTTATTTTTGATTTCGAAAATGATATTGATGATTATATATTAAAATAAAAATAAAATAGATAGATGAATTTAGGAGGAATATAATTAATAAATAATTAAAAATATATTAGTAAAAATAATTATATATAAAAACAAAAGATATAAAATTTATGGTTGGAGAAGTTTCACGTGAAATGGTGTCCGCTGATAATTGTGGATTAGCGAACAGGAAGAAGGCCCAAAAATGGTCACGCTTCTTGTCACCATATTTGAATTTGACAGTTTGACTGATTCATCACTCTCCCCTTTTGTCGCCTATTCCTTCTCTTTCATACACACATTGCTTCCAAACTCGTGTTTTTTTTTTTTTTTTTTTTAAAAAATTTAAATAAAATAAAAAAGTCTTTAATTAGTTTTGTTATATTTATTATTTGAAAATATTATATTTAATATTTATTATTTTTTTTTATAAAAAAAACGTGTGCTACAATGATTGCTTGTATGTTTTTTGATTGATTAAGAAACACTATTAGGAATTGACATAAATAGGTTTTAAATATACTACTATAAATATTGATGAAAAATACTCCATTATTCACAAAAAAATAAAAATAAAATAAATTATATTTGTTTTATCGTTTTAATTTGTCCATAAAAAATATATTTATATTGTCATATGAAAGTTTCTATATTATACTTTATGAATATATTTATTATAATAAAATCAATAACAGTATATATTATCTGAGATAATGTCATATAATTCGGTTTATTATTTGTTATTAAAAATATTTATATGTTTAATAGTTATCTTATTAAAAATAAAATCCTGCCACCTCCTTACCAACAAGGGAATCCCTTTTCAATATTTCAATAAATGCTTGGTATTTATTATTTAGTATGTATAGGAATCGGTTATCTCTTGGTCTATGGTTTTATTTATTTATAATAAAGTCATTTCTATTGGCAAATAAATCCCAGAATGCATACATCACTCATATTCCATTATCAAGTGGAGAATATCTAAAAGGAGAAAATGTCACTTTTGCCTTTTTCAATGTCGTTTAAACCAATCTCTTCCTATTTTTTTTGGCCTGCTTAAATTTTTATAAACTAATCCTAATCATATTCGGTAATGCATTATTTGACAAATTGACAAATTCCCGTGCTACAATTCAATAATATAATATTAATTACAAATAAAAATATTTAATTTTATTTTTATTTTAATTATAAAAGAGACATATATATATATGATATTATTATATTTTAATTTTATGGAGATAAAATTCATTTTATACATTAGATTTTATAAATAATATATATATTTTTAAAAAGGTTTATATATAATTATATATATATATAATGTATATGGAAAGAACACTTCCAGCATGCATTCAAATTCGTCGTTTGGCGAGTATTATTGACCCCTCTTTCTCGCTCTACATTCCTCTCTTCCTCTCTCTAAGATACGCTCGTTGGAGGTTTTCTTGGGCGGAATCTTCACCGCAAACAAGGAAAGGTTAGCGTCTGACCGATCTGGCCTGGTGTGTAGGATCATCTTTGGAAATATTTTATTCCTTTTTCTCGATTTTGAGTTTGTTGGGCACGTGGATTGTGTTGTTGAGATTGGAATCTTCTGCCGTCGTCGTTGTTGTTTGTGTGGCGAATGTGTATGTGTATTTATGTAATAGTTGTTTTTCAGTTACCGATTTTGAGTTTTTTGAGCATGAATGAGTCCGGCGAAGCCGATTTCTGGTGATGAAGTAGGAATTATTCGACGTCATTTGTGCGTATGTTTATTTGTTTCGCAAATTGTCCTTTGATTTGCTCTGCGATTTGGACCTGCATTGCGATTGAGACTTTGAAGGTGCATTTTATCTCCTTTTTGTGTATCGATTCGATTTTAATTTGCGTTAATAATGATTGAATTAAATAACCGTAAACTTTTGGGGAATTTTCAAATGTAGATCCAGCAACTGTTTTTGAATCGTAGTTTAAAATCTTATATGAATCTGAACTACAAATGCTATTCTACACGGTTACATTAATTTTGAGATCTTTGTTCATCTAAATTTTCTGATCCACGAAGTTTGATATTTACAGCTGAGTCGAAGATTTGAGCACTGAAAAATGAGTGAGAAGAATTTAAACACGCCTCTAATGCAGCCATCTTCCTCTTCACAAAAGCTCCCCGATTTCAAACAGTCAGTTAAACTGAAGTATGTGAAGCTTGGATACCATTACTTGATTACCCATGGCATGTATCTATTTTTATCTCCCCTGGTGGTGGTGGTTGCAGCTCAATTGTCGACGTTCTCTCTGCAAGACCTTTCTGTTCTATGGAACCATCTTAGATTCAATCTTATATCAGTGATAGTTTGCTCGGCACTTCTGGTGTTCTTGTCGACAGTCTATTTCCTCACACGCCCCCGCCCTGTGTACCTTGTGAATTTTGCTTGTTATAAGCCCGAAGATGCTAGGAAATGCACTAGGCAGATTTTCATGGAGAGATCATCCTTGACGGGTACATTTACTCCCGAGAATCTTGAATTCCAGCGGAAGATTCTTGAGAGGTCCGGCCTTGGTGAATCGACTTATCTTCCTGAGGCAGTTTTGAGGGTACCGCCAAATCCGTGTATGGCTGAAGCAAGGAAAGAAGCTGAGACAGTAATGTTCGGCGCCATTGATGATCTGCTTGCCAAGACATCTTTGAAGCCTAAGGACATTGGCATTTTGATTGTGAATTGCAGTCTTTTTAATCCGACGCCTTCTTTGTCCGCCATGGTTGTTAACCATTACAAGCTCAGAGGAAACATTATCAGTTACAACCTCGGGGGTATGGGCTGTAGTGCCGGCTTGATATCCATCGATCTTGCTAAGGATCTTCTACAGGTGCACGCGAACACTTACGCTTTGGTGATCAGCATGGAGAACATTACACTGAATTGGTATTTTGGGAATGAGAGATCTATGCTCGTTTCAAACTGTCTCTTCCGTATGGGAGGCGCTGCAATCTTGCTGTCGAACAAAAGATCTGAGTACTGGAGAGCAAAGTACCGGTTGGTCCACACTGTCCGGACGCACAAAGGCTCCAACGATAAATGCTTCTCTTGTGTCACACAGACGGAGGATCCCATTGGCAAGATCGGTGTTTCTCTATCGAAAGACTTGATGGCTGTAGCTGGCGATGCCTTGAAGACAAACATCACAACTCTCGGCCCTCTCGTCCTTCCCATGTCCGAACAGCTCCTTTTCTTCGCAACCTTGGTTGGGAAAAAGCTATTTAAGATGAAGCTGAAGCCTTACATCCCGGACTTCAAATTGGCGTTCGAACATTTCTGCATCCATGCCGGCGGAAGGGCCGTGCTGGATGAGGTTGAGAAGAACCTTCAGCTGTCGGATTGGCACATGGAGCCTTCGAGGATGACATTGTATCGGTTCGGAAACACCTCGAGCAGCTCCCTCTGGTACGAATTGGCGTATTCGGAAGCCAAGGGAAGGATCAAGAGAGGCGACCGGACATGGCAGATCGCGTTTGGGTCCGGGTTCAAGTGCAACAGTGCAGTGTGGAAAGCTCTGAGGACTATAAACCCGTCGAAGGAGAAGAGCCCGTGGAGTAATGAAATTCATCAGTTTCCTGTAGAGGTTCCTAAGATCTCTTCGATTAATTCTTAGGTTTACCACATACAACAGCACAATGTGTAGCAGCAGCAGCTTCAACTGGACTGGGAATCTCTCACAGGTTAGTGTTGTTATGATTTTACGTCAGTATTTTTCAGTCATCGTATATGTGTTATATGTGCTGTCTGTACTGTGCTCGATCCTTCTTTAGTTGTGTACTCCCTGTGTCACTCCCCTGTTTAGGTTTTAGGGTAGAATCCAATCCCCATTGCTAATTTCAAACCTACTTGAATCTTTACTAGACCGATCTTTCGGTTAAATTATTGCATCGACATCCTGGTATTCTTGTGGGCTTTGCCGTAACAACTCGCATTCATTCGAATCCAATTAGAATCCTACTATGGACATTACACCGATAAATAGAATCCAATTACCATCGGTTTCCAGCTTTCATAGCTTGCCCCAAACAGACCGACTACAATGATAATAATCTAAAACTCGACAAATAGAGAGAACAATATTAAGGGTTTACTCCTTGGACGACTTGTTGATGAGGGACTTGTGTATGTGCGGAATTACCCCACCGCCAGCTATGGTTCCTTTGATGAGAGTGTCGAGCTCCTCGTCTCCACGGATGGCCAGCTGGAGGTGCCGTGGTGTGATACGCTTCACCTTCAAATCCTTGCTAGCGTTTCCGGCCAGCTCCAGCACTTCTGCAGTTAGGTATTCCAAAATGGCCGCAGAGTAGACGGCTGCAGTTGCGCCCACCCTTCCATGAGCAGTCACCCGTTCCTTCAGGAGCCGGTGGATACGCCCCACAGGGAACTGTGGAAATGTTACATTGCAGATTATGAACATCTACTTTTCAACGTAAGAAATATGTGCAATGTACAGCTTTCTAATTGTTTGTACTTGGAAAACGTAACGATCATGATACCTTTTAACCAAACTTACAAAAACATGGGGAAAAAAGTTCGAACATCTCATCCAAAGTTAAATTTGATTCGGGATACGTAATTAAGATTTAAAACATGTTTTTCTTTATGGGACTTTAGTTAATGTATTACTTGTGATGGTTCAACATGAAGAACATTATACCATTCATGGCAAATAATAATACAAAATAAGCTCAAATAATAATCAAAATACGCTAAATGTTGTTCAGTATTACTTATCAAAATTATAGGTAGCTATCCTCCCGGAACTTGTACTTAGTTGCTCAGTTATTTTAGTAAACCCAAACTTGATCAGCAACATATTCAAGCTCTTGGCCATGCAAAAATTTTCATATGTGCAAAAGTAGCCCAAAACATCAAGTTTCACGATAGAGCATTGTTAACAAACCATCAACAAATATGAAACAAAGAAAATTTATTGAATGAATAGCAATCAATAAACCTACGATAAAGATGTTATATAATGAAAATCACCGGAAACATTAATGCAAAAAGTAAGGTCTCTCATTATGAGTCAATGAAAAGGATTGGAAGGTTCTCAGAGGAGGTGGAATTGGAAAAACATGCAGAGTTCATGTTACTAGCACTCAGTTATTTGTACACTCGATACAAGTGTCTAGCTTGACCATTGTAACAGACTAATAGGTTTCCCAATCACAATCTTGAATCAAGCAAATATTAAATTTCTATTACAAGTTAGGATTATAGGCATACAGTATTGCTAAGACACACACACACACATATATATTTATATCTAATATGGCCGTACCCTTTTCCATCGACATGAAAAATGGAGCTCTTAAACATTATGCATTCATAAAACAACAATCCTCTGAATCCAGAGAAACGACTACACCCAATTTCAGCACAAGATAACATGAATGATCCACGACATGTCATAAAATCAAATTCATTCCACTGAACAAACAAAACTCTCTACCCCTCATTCCCCGTGATAATTTTTACTTTGTACCTCCGCAAACTACTTTTTTTACAAACATTAGTTATCAAAATCTATACCAGCTAGAAACTTGCAATTTCCTATACTGCTGCCTTCCGAAAACGAGACAGGTTGCTTGCAAGCACCGAAAAACCTAAATCTTTGTTACACATTCAGAAATCGAATACAATGTACCCAAGTTCCATTGCCTAGTACAGATGCTCACATATTTCGACACCCATTAAGAAGCAGCTATCTAAATTTGAACAACTTCAAGTTCTTAAACTTCAAAATTCAATTTTATCCTGTTGGAAGGATAGAGCTAACATGTGCTTATCTATCAAGCCATCAATCTTCTAAAAAAGAACCCACAAATTCAATCTCTTTACAAAACACTAATAAACATAATTCAGATAACGAAAGATAACTACTGAATAGAGTAATCAATCATCGCATTCTAACACAACATGCAATGAGGGAAATCAAAGCGTTACCCAAAACCCTAACTCTGCAAGAAATTAACCCAAAAAAATGGCAAAATCACAAAAACACATTACCGAAACGAATCAGCTAGCAGATTCCAAGCCTAGGATTTTAACTCGCATTCCACAGTCAGCGATAAATAAAATCACCATACGAATCCAACTTTGTTTCAACAAAAATTAACAGAGAAGCGAAAATTGCAGCCGTAGAAATTGAAACGATCGGGGAATTTAAAAAGAGAGAACGAAAACAAAAACCTGAAGACCAGCACGAGAAGAGCGAGAGGTCGGTTTCTTCTTGTCCTTATCTTTGTCCTTCGACGCCGGAGTCTTCCCCGTCAACAATCCTTTCGCGCCTTTCCCCGACATTCCAATTTCTTACCAGATCTACAGAACTATTGAAGAATTCACAAATTAACCAGACGCAGATCCGAAGCTTCGCAGAGGGAAAACAATGGCAGGAGATCGAAGATACTCCACCGACTCTCGCCTCCCCCGTCGATGCGGTGCCGCAGATTTCTATGGGAGTTTGGAAATTTGGTCATTATTAGGGCTTATGGGCTGAAAGTCAATACAGTATCTTATCCAATTGGCCCATGGGCCTTTTTGAATTTGGGCCTGATTATAGTGTAATTTCAAATATATTATTGGGCCGCAGGCTTTTTCCCATGGATTTGGGCCTATGATTTGAGGCCCACTTATAATTTTATTTAAATAGACCATGGGCTTTTCCCGTGGATTTGGGCTTATGGTTTAAGGCCCAATTATAATTTTATTTGTGTGTGTACGTATGATGTGCTTTAAACGATATAGAAAATAATTAAGGTAGTTAAATTTTCATAAGTGATATATTATTAATCATGTTTTCAAGCAACTTTGTGTTGGAAATTAATAAATCTAATGTTAGGTCAAAAGCATATATATATATATATATTTTAAAAATTTCAATCATTTTATTTATTTATTTTCGTATGCATTAATTTAAATATTATAAGTATTTTTAATAACAAGAGTACAACATCGTGTCAATATATTCGTGCTTGTAGCATTAAATTTAATACTATTTTCTTGTAGTACAAATTAAAACAAATTTTTGTAGAGTTTGATTTCAATTTTTTTTTTTACTATAAAATAATTGCCATTTCTTATTAAAAATAAAAATAAAAAAAAACCCTACTATTTACTCAAATAAAATATCATATTCAAATTAATATTCAAATAAAATAAATAAAGTAAACTATTTTTAAAAAAAAACACACACACACTATTTGTATTGGTTGGGTGATAATAAGATGAGTGTTCATACATATGATTGAGGCAAAATAAAATAAATAATAATAATAATAATAATAGTAGTAGTAGTAAAAATCTTATTATTAATTAATGTTATATTTCAAGTTAATTTTTTTTTTATTGCATCTCAAATTTCCATCTATATCTTCATAGATATGTATTTTTTAAAAAAAATAAAAATAAAAATCATATATGTATAGAAATATTACATAGATCAAAGGATGACATATGCTTGTCTATATAATATCATGTATATTAGTTCGTTTTAATTTTAATTGACTTTTAAAAGAATCCATTAAATATTTTTATTGCAATAAAAATACTTTCTCAAATTTAGGTCAGCTGTTCTAGAAAAACACTCGTGACTTGTGAAAATAAAATTAAATTAGAAAATAAAAATAAAAATGAAAATGTAAATGTAGTGACGGCCACCCACCATATAAGTTCTAACCTATATCACTAGGTCAATATTTTGACTATTCCTAAATAATAATAATTATATATATATATATATTTTTTTTGGGGGGTTCTATTATTATTAAAATAAATAAATAACTCAACATCTAATAATATTGCAATAAATAATTATTTAAATTCTTACTAATCAAAACTCTAATGCTACAAATTTTTATAAAATATAATAACAATAATAAAAGCAGAAGAAGAAATTTAAGCAACAAGTAAGCATTACACATTTCTTGGTACAAAAACACAATCAGTGCAAAATAATTAACAAAAATAATTTACCTTAATCACTCACCACCAAACAGATTAAATCCTGAAAGTAAAAATAAAAAAATAAAAATTATCATAATTATTTTTTTTTTATAAAAATTAGGTAGTTGGGCAAGTATCACACGTTTCATTCAGCACTGTCTTTTTTTGAAATTGTAACAGTAATTAATATTTAATTAACTTTCATGCAATATTTTTTTAAATAAAAAAAAGGTATTACAACTAAAATTCATAATTATTAATACTATTATTAAATATTGATAAAATCAATTTTAACTTTACAAAATTGGGTAGATGCGATTAATTTTAATTTATTTTACATTTACGTGCGATTTCTTTATTTTTTGGGGAATAAAATTAAAAAACGTGTTTTGAGAATAAAATTTAAAAACGTGTTTCCAAATTAATAAAGCGTGTGAAGGGGGAATGAATACTCACTGTTCAAATTCAATGTTCAAGTAAGGAACCGCAGGATCGGCGATTTTCTGGAAAGCCGTGTTGGATAAGACGAGGCTTGAACCGGGCCGGCTCGGCTGGGATACGGAGGTGGCCGCCCGGTCCACAATCTTAACCTCGACCGTCAACTCTCCGGCGACGCAGGCCGTCGGCGCGCCTCCGCTGATGCACCGGAGGGAGTACCGCCGCCCGCAGGCGGCGCCATTCTCCCAAATCCCCTCCCCCGCCGCCGCGAACAGGTTGCTCGTCGGAAACTGGCTGAAATCGCTGCCGTAGCACGCCGTCGCTGCAGATCAGAAATGAAAACGCAAAACTGAAATTGATTTGCCGTTCGATCTGAAGGAGAGATTTTGATTTTTACAATTGATTGATTTGAGTCGTCGTCTATCGGAAACTTACGAGTGTACGGAGGAACGTATTGGCTGGCGGTTCCAATGTCGGCGCCGGAAAATCGAATTTGCCGTCCGATGAAGAAGAAGAAGAGGAGGAGCCATAGGAATCGAATTTTCGGCTTCAACATCCTAAGGCTAATATTTATTTGAATTATTCTCTCAACTTTGATCACTATATATATATATATATATATATATACACGCATGTTACAGTGTGGAAAGGAGAATATATATAAATATACTATTTTTTTTAAAAAAAATATATTTAATTACTACTAATATTTTATAAACAAACAATATTTTGTTATTTCAAACAGAAATTAATATTATTATTTGTTCTCTACCGTTTTAATAAAAATAGAGAAAATTGCAAAAAAAAATATCTCATAATATACTCATTATAACTTTTGTTTTGTATTTATCTCGCTCACAAAATATATTTATAAATTTACAAAAATAACTATTTTTGTCATTTGACTGCGTGTGACGTTCACACCATCCGCGGTGACGCGGGATCACGAGCGGCTATGCGCGACTAAATGATATAAATACCGATTTTTTCAAACATGTGAATATATTTTACCAGCGGGATAAATATATGACAAAAGTCGAGGTATACATGTGAAATATTTTTTGAAAATTTCTCATTAAAATATATTTTTTCTTTTAACAAAATACTACATCAAAATAATATTTAAACAAAAATTCAAATAAAAAAATTTCAAACTAAACCGGAAAAAACTCTAAATTAAGATTTAAGAGTGTGTTGTTTTAATTTGGGAGAGTTTTTATTTAAATCTTTTACTTATGTTTAATGCGTTTTTAATAAATAAAATAAAATTGGAAAACTTTTTATGGTGGGTTTGTTTGTGAGATAATTGGAATGATTTTTTTTTATTTTTACATAAAGTATAAAAATTATATAATGAATATAAAAATAATAAATATGTGTTATATTAATATTTTTTAAGAAAGCGTATGCATATTTATATGTTAAAAGCATACTCTTAGAAATAAAAAATAAAAAATAAAAAATATTTAGAGGTCAACTGTATAATATAACTTTTTCTCCATCAAGTGTATAGATTCTCTTTAGGTATGTTTGCAAAATTAGTTTATTGCATATTATTCGCCAAATATATATATATATATATACAGAAATATTATGTTAAAATTTATGTAGTTTATTTATATCAAAATTATATTTTTACAATTTCTGAATCAATACAAAATATTTTCAAAATATATTTGAAATACAATTGTGTAAGAAATGATCAAATAATATGAACTCGTGATTATGGGGTAATGAATATGATGTCTTCAAATCTTGTTTGATACACAGTATATAATTTAATAAATATTTTAACATAGTGTTAAAGCTTAAGTCTCGAGTTTGAGTCTTCGTGGAAAACATGTTGGTTGATTTCTATTATAAATAAATATTATATTCGTCCTGCTTAATTTTTCAATTATTTATATTTTTGTATGTTTCAGGTAATTTGTCATTTTTTTTTAAAGTATAATTATACGTTTTAATCACATTTTAAAATTCATAATTTATAATTTTTTTATTTTAATTAAATTTTTTAGTCATCTTAATCTTAATTTATAATTATTTTTATTAAATCATACTATCTCCCTCCGTCTTTAAGAATCACATTTACCTTTTGCGTCATTGTACTTAACATTAAATATATCCTAAAATTTGTATAATTTTTTGTACAAATGTCATTCTATTAGTATTATAATACACTAATTGAAATATTTTTGTATTTTTTTCTTAATTTAAATTACGTTTTGATATAAGAATTAATATTCAAATATCAATATGTAAAAAGTAAATGAGACCTTAGAGCCGGATGGAGGTAATATTATTTTTATTAATATAGTCTTAATTACTTATTAATTACATAATATTTAAAATTTTGTGTCTAAACTAAGTATAACAAATTAGTTGAGACGGAAAAAGTAATAAAAATTTAAACTTTTAATTGAAATTGTAAATTAATTATATTTCCTAATCAGTGAGTATTTAAAATTTTTGAAGAGTATAGAGAGAAATTGAAACAACAAACTATAAGAGTATATTTGTTTAATATTATATTAAAGTGTGTTTGTTTCAGTGTTTGAATTTTGGATTGAAATTTGAATAGTAAAAAAATTGAATTTAAATAGTTGTATGATGTGATATAAATAAGAATTGATGTGATGTTTTAAATGTAAAATTGATTTTTAATATAATATAAAAAATTAAAAAATAAATATTTAATTTGATATTTTTTGAGAGAAAATTTTGTGAAAATAATACAAATTCCACAAAATCCCTCAAACGAACACACCCTTAGAGTGTGTTTGTTGGGGATTGGATTGGATTTACACTATTCATCCAATTTTTTTTCCCCTTAAAACATCACATCAAACAATTATTTTTTATTTTTTTATATTATACTAAAAATCAATTTTACATTCAAAACATCACATCAACACCTATTTATATCACATCATACAACTATTCAAATTCAAAATTTATACTATTCAAATCTCAATTCAAAATCCAAACCCCAAACAAACACACCCTTAATGTATTTTTGTGTGAAATGTATAAAGTAATTGTTATGAGAAAACGAGAAAGAAAGCAAATAAAGAACACAGAGGTTTTACGTGGTTCGGTGACGGTGTGTCAACCTACGTCCACGGGCAGGAACCGGAGAGATTTTATTATACTGATTCAGAGATTTACAATGTGTCATCCGACTAAGAACCATAGTTGTCTATTTATAAGCACCCCAAAACACCCTAAACCTTAAGCCTATTTGTTATTAATTAGGATAAGCCCAAAAGGAACCCTGCCAATTGAAACAGCTCTTTCGCTTTGGTTTAGGGTTGGGTAGACCGCTAAATCCAAGTCACGTTTCAACAATCTCCACCTTGACTTGGAGTTTCTCCAACCGCCAAAGGTTTGTCAGTATCTCTCAGTCGTCTCCTTCCTGCCAGATGCCCCGAGAGGGCTTTACCTCCTACGAATATTCACCAAGTTCAAGCAGTGCTCAAACTTCTCCGTCGGTAGCGCCTTTGTCAACATATCAGCTGGATTGTGCTCTGTAGCTATTTTCTGAATAGAAAACTTGTCTTCCTCCAGAACATCACGGATAAAATTCAACCTTACATCAATATGTTTGGTTCTCTCATGATACACTGGATTTTTAGCCAAACTCAAAGCACTTTGACTATCACAGAATAACACCGGTTTCTCCACCTTCAGACCCAAACTCTGCACCAGACCATGTAACCAGATACCCTCCTTAATACCTTCAGTCATTGACATGTATTCCGCCTCAGTCGTCGACAATGCAACCGTAGGTTGTAAAGTAGACTTCCAACTGACTGCACATCCAAACAAAGTGAAGATAAAACAAGTTAGTGATCTTCGTTTCACCAAGTCACCCCCGTAATCAGAGTCTGCATAGCCAACAAGACCATCACCATGGCCTTTATCATCATATACCAGACAAATATCAGACGCTCCTTTCAAATATCGCAAGATCCACTTTACAGCTCCCCAGTGAGCTTTACCCGGATTAGCCATAAACCTGCTCACCACACTAACCGCATAAGCGAGATCCGGTCTCGTACATACCATCGCATACATAAGACTTCCAACTGCACTTGAATATGGAACCGTCTTCATGTAACTAACCTCTTCATCTGTAGCCGGTATAGTGCTTCGATCAAGTTTAAAGTGTGCCGCCAAAGGGGTACTTACCGGTTTGGACTGATCAACAGAGAATGCCTGCAAAACTTTCTCAATATACTTTTCTTGAGAAACCCATAACCGTCTTGCTTCTCTATCACGCCAGATCTCCATACCAAGTATTTTCTTTGCCGCACCCAAATCCTTCATCTCAAACTCACCCTTTAGTAGAGCCTTCAAGTCATTAATTACAGCCATGTTTTTAGCTGCAATTAACATATCATCCACATACAACAGCAGATACACAAAGGAATCAGTAGAAACTTTCTTCGAGTAAACACAGTTATCAAACTGATTACGAGTATAACCATTAGACACCATGAATGAGTCAAATCTCTTGTACCATTGCCTCGGAGACTGCTTCAAGCCATACAGAGATTTCTTTAACAAGCATACCTGGTCCCCTTTAGAACTGTAGAACCCCTCCGGTTGAGACATGTAAATCTGTTCTTCTAGATTACCATGAAGGAATGCTGTTTTTACATCAAGCTGCTCCAGCTCCAGATCAAAAGCACCCACCATTGCCAAAAGAACCCGAATGGTTTTGTGTTTCACCACAGGAGAAAAGACTTCATGGTAATCGATTCCTTCCTTCTGTGAAAACCCTTTTGCCACCAGTCTCGCCTTGAACCTAGCAGGTTCAACACCAGGAATTCCCTCCTTTCTTTTAAAGACCCACTTGCATCCCACTGGCTTCACCCCTTTTGGTAGTGCAACAAGATCCCAAGTCTTGTTCTTTTCAAGAGACTGCATCTCTTCATTCATTGCCATAATCCAGGTTTCTGCATCTTTACTCGCCACAGCTTCTTTATATGTCTTTGGCTCATCAGAGCCAAGATCATCACCAACCGCTAGTGCATAAGCAACAGAATCCATGTCACACGTATTGACACATCCTGCAAACCTAGCTGGTTTCTGAATATTTCTCTTTCCCTTTCTTGCTGCTATGGAATCTTCAACCCCAGTACCAGCGTCATCAGCTTCCCCCTCAACCAGTTTCCCTTGAGGTTTTGACTGATCTGGTTGATCGGATTGATCAATAGTATTATCCTGCTGCTTTTCCTCTAACACAACTCTGTCAGGAGTCTCAAACTCCACCCTCTGGTTAGCACCACAATCTTTTGTACCTGCAATACTTTCACAACCTCTACTCTGATCAAGCATAGCAGATTCATCAAAGGTTACATCTCTGCTAATAAGAAATTTACCAGGATTTTTACCTTCTGTACACCACAGTCGATAACCTTTTACTCCTGTTGCATACCCTAGAAATATGCATTTTACCGCCCTCGGCTCCAGCTTACCATCATTCACATGAGCGTATGCAGGGCATCCAAATATTCTTAGATTAGAGTAATCAGAGGGTTTACCGGACCATACCTCTTGAGGAGTCTTTAAGTCAATTGCAGT